TCTTGTCCATGAAGTGAGAAACGCACTGCACGAACTCCGCAACGAGCAATGGAGCGACTTTCTGGTGGGAATGCTTGATTTAGGTATTCCTCTCTGGAGTCACTCAGAAACGGAAAGCGAGAACAACTACCGCACATCCACGGTCCTGAAGGTATAGTCTTAAGAACGGGGGATAAGGTCGAGGTTTTCGCTGTTGCCATGGAAAAACAGTTCTATCCCAACTATGATCTTGATAATAACCTCGACGAGGAACAGCACATCGTACGATCCGTCAGGAGATATTTTAGGGCCAACGGCGTAAGCGGAGGCACTGAATCCTATTCAGATGACTCTTCTTCAGAAGATTCATCTGAGGCACCACATAGCACATCAGCGGAACCCTCCGAGTTTCCACATTGCACACCAGCGGATCTTTCAAGTCATATTAAAGACCTCAAGGTGCGTAAAGCATCTGGGGAGGATCAAATCACCACCAAGGCGTTGAAGCTGCTCTCGCCGAAAGCCCTGACATATTTGGTGACAATAATCAATGCGACGCTCAGAAACCAGTACTTCCCTGCTAGGTGCAAGACTTCTGAGGTCACTATGATTCCAAAGAAGGTGGGTTCAATATTTCCTCAGGATTACCATCCCATAAGTCTGCTGTCAGCTCCTTCTAAACTCGCCGAATAGGTGATTTATCGTCACCTTGAGAATTTGTCGTCAAACCACCATGTGATTCCTAACGTTCAATACGGTTTTCGGTCCGAGCATAGCACCGACCTACAGGCAGTCAGTCTGGTAGAACATGTAACCAGATGATTTACCCTCAGCATGAGTACTGGCATCTTGCTTTTGGATGTCTCAAAAGCCTTTGACAAGGTATGTCACACGGGCGTTATAAACTGATCCAAAAGGGTTTCCTTTTCGGCTTCTAAAATTACTGAAATCCTTTCTTGAAGAAAGGAAGTTTCGGATCAAAATTAACAACGTTCTGTCAACAACACGGCCAGCACGGTTCTGTCCTAGGACCAATCCTTTATTTGCTTTTCATCCATGATGTCCCTTGCCCCAGCAACTGTGAAGTCTACCTCTATGCTGACGACACTGCACTTGTCGCCCAGTCGTGTACTGGTGATCTGATTCACGATGGGCTGCAGAGTGCGTTGGAAGAAATACTAGAGTGGGTGGAACGGTGGCTGATTAAAATTAATCATTTGAAAACGCAGGCTATTTATTGTGCCAAAAAGCGTCGCGGCCCCCCAGCAGAAGTCTCTGTAGACGGTAATCGTGTACCATGGACAAATTCTGCTAAGTACCTGGGTGTCACCCTTGATAAAGGCATGAACTGGCAGAAACGTAAAGCAGCCTTGAAAACAAAATTCGAAATGGCGTGTCGACAACTATATCGTTTGTTATGTAGAGACACCAAATTTGATGAACAAAGTTCGCCTATATAAAATGATTATTAGATCAGGCATTACTTATACATGTGCGGCTTGGCGTTTTCTTGCCAATACACATATGCAAAGTCTTCAAGTACTGCAAAGTAGAACTTTGCGAACAATTTTCAACGCTTCATGGTATGTTTCAAACGAAACACCACACAGAGACCTTGACATTCCTTACTTTATAGTCAAGCGGAGTCGCACAGCAACGCTCTGTTGCGCCACTCAGTGGACTACACACTGGAGCAAGTTCGTAAACGTTCAAGGCCACGGCTCGCACTGTAATCAAAAATTAGCGCGAACTTTTAGTAAACTTAAAATTACACTATAACAAAACCGAATCAAAATTTGTTTAGTTCACCTCAAAATTAATCCGTGTACCAAGTCAAAAAGCCTAGGTGTCTCCTCTTAAACTAAACATTTCTGTTTTTCTTTGCTCTTCTCCATTTTTCTTCTCTTTCCCTTTCTCTTTTTCCTTGACGTTGTCTGGTTTTTGGTCTATACTCTAAGCTATTGTACATCATGCACGCATTATATGAGAAGAACCGTTTAAAAAGGAGAGAACTTTGAAGATGTGTTACGGATAGGTCATTGATGAACATTGTATCCAATAAATAATAGTTGAAAAAACTAAAAAACACGCTTTTATAGCTAACCGAACTAAAAGGTAGAAAATAATTTTTAATTACAAAGAGTTTATATTACAGTAGTAGATGGTCGAACAAACAATCACGATTAATCACCTCAAAATTAAATTATATAATATATATAATAAAATTTAAATTATTAACAGAATAATTCAATTCAGAGTAAAAAACACCGGGTGCTTGATATATTAAATGTTGCAATCATTTTATTAGCAACTATCAATGAGAAGAGAGTTATGAAATGTAGGAAAATGCACGCCACGCGTTTTACTCTGAATTGAATTATTCTGTTAATAACTTAAATTTAATTATAATTTTATTTTGAGGTCATTAATTTTGATTGATTGTTCGACCGTCTACTACTGTAATATAAACTCGTTGTAATTAAGAATTCCTTAAGCTTTTATTTTTCGTCTTTTGGTTCGATTTATCAATTAGTTTTTTGTGGATATGGGTATTGAAATGTCTTACGAATCATTTCGTAATGAAGCTTTATTTACTATTGCATGTTGCCTGTTAACTCCAAGCAATCAAGTTCTTCAATCCGCATACCGTCTAAAGATCTTACACGACTAAGTGCTACGTAAGCTTGTCTAGCAACAAACAGTCGCGAGCCTAGATGAATGACTGCATGATCGACTGTACAACCTTGCATCTTGCGGACGGTCGAAGCCCAACTCAGGATTAATGGCAACATTCGCAATGAGCCAGGTGAGAATGCACCACCTTGAAAAAGTATCTGCCTCCATTGTACTGTGCCGAGTGCCCGAACAAACAAAGAGTAAGTCCAAAACTGCACGCATGCGCAGATCGCGCGCCAGCTCTATCTCTCTTACTCCTTACAGAGTATCTATAAATGAATTTATCAATCCTAGCGGTCCTAATAAGGATAGTGGAAGACTTTTATCAAATTAATGAATTGTCATCGGTCCTTGATACGTGTGCGAAGTTTCGAACTAATAAAACTTCTGGAAATTGGTGAAAATTATGCTTAAGGATTCCGCTACATGCATTCAGGCCAGGCTTATAAAATCGTGTTACAAATTAGTTAATCAAGATAAGTTAATTGTATTTTACTGAATCTGTCATCTTAAACCAACCTATTAAATGGTAACGATGGTCAAATTTACTTAAATTAAATATGAAACGTATACAAGGATAATAAACTAGATTGCAATAATTCAAAGATTGATAACACGAAAGTTTCACGCAACTTTCTTCGCAGTTTAAAATTCAGCAAATTTCTGTTCGCAAACAGCGTTCTTAGACGGATATAAGTTGTTTGTGAGAGGTTATTCAGATCTCTTGCTAGCTATCATTAAGCCGCTTAGCTACGATTCGGTTAAGCGAGAGTTGGGCAGTTTAATGGCGGCTGGCTATAGATAAGCGGATGTATCCTGTCAAAGCGTAGCTGAGAGCGAGTTTGCGTGCACTCGGTGGCACAGACCGTCTGTAATGCTGAGTTATCGGTCTTTTCAAACCTCATTTGCTTCCTGTCAAAACAAATGTTCGTTCTATGACAGTAGACATGGTGAGAGAGTTGACGTGCTGAGTGTCGCTCTGCGGAGAATCTGAAAAACCTCCAGTAATAAGTGGAATTAAATAATTTGGTTCTTCTACTCTGAAAGGTTATTGGACACTAAATCAATATGCCATTGACACGAGATCAAATGGCCGATGTTAAATTAATTATAAAGCAAACCATTGAAGAATTGCTCAGTGATGATAAATTCTTAACGCTTATTTCTGATAAAATCGAACAGAAACTTGGTATAAAGGAATCTCAACAAAAAATGGTCGATCTAGAAAAACAAATAGTGGACCTGAGACATGCTAAGGATAAAGCCGAGAATACACATGCCAGTAAAATAGCATGCCAGTGGACAGTAACTTGTATGCTAACTACTTGTCCTACGACATCCCAAAATACACATGCTAGTTTTGGATATGCCAGTCTGTGAAAACTTTCCTTTATCTTCTTTAACTCTTGGTGGTAGGTTGTTCTTAGGGTTTTTATCTTATTTTTCATAAATTTCAATGTTAAATTGTTAACAGTCATTTGCTTCAATATAGACTTGTAAGCATTGTCTCTAGCGATTTTATTTTTATACAATGGAGATCATGTATTCCATAAACACGGATACTCCCTATACTGCATAACAAACAAAGTCTTTTCGTCTCCCCAACGAGCCATTTTGTCCCGAACTAAACAAATAGTTCTATAGTTCAAGAATCCGTTTTTCACATGCGAGTTTCTGGTAACGATGTCGTTCACACACCTTTGAACATGACTCGCATGTTTCCTCCCCTCCATTCCCTCGACGAAATCCTGCTACTGGCACACAAAAATCAAACGTCTTGCGATCTACTGGCGTGCTATCTTCTAGCGTGCTTTCTTGCTGGCAAAGAAAGTCACACATGCAAGTAGCACGCACAATCCAGTAACTGGCATGCTTCTGTGCGTGTAACAAGCATGTGTATTCTCGCCTTAAAACTAGAGTGTGATTTGGAAAAATTTCAACAACATGCACGTCGAAAATCTTTTAGAATAGTTGGCATGAAGGAATCACATGGTACAAGTGTCCTGAAGTAGGTGCTTACCTTATGCGAAGATAACCTAAAAACTCGAGTTTTGGAAGAGATTATTGAAAATTGTTTTTGGTTAGGACGAAAGAAGAACGAACAGCGTTCTGTCTTGTTTACTGTAAATTCTCATAACCTGAAAATGAAGCTTCTGAGAAACAGGAAGGTGCTGACAGGTTCAGGAATAACTCTTACTGAAGATATTTCGCCTGCTCGATATAACCTGTATCAAAAGGCCGTGCAGAAATGGGGTAAGCAGAAGACCTGGTTTTATAACGGAGAAATATGGGTGAAACTGCGAGAAAACAAGTTACAGATAAAAACGGAAGCGGACTTGAATAACATGGCGCAGTAATGATCCCATGTACTGTTCAGGTTGCTGCAGCGTGGACGTGAGCTTTTCATTTTGGTTTAGTGCTTTTTTCTTTTCTTTTTTTTCTCCTTCCTTTTCAGCGAGTTGTAATTTATTACATAACTGAGCCATTGTATAGTTGTAGCAGTTTAGTTAGTTTCAGTTTTTTTCTGCATTCATATTGAGTTTAGCTTGATTTGTATATGACTGATATGGATACAGCTTTGAATATTTTAGAGGATTATAACAATATCACGACCATCAGTTGTTCTAATTTTGATGAACTAAATAGTGTTCTGTTTGAGAGAAGTGATAAGTTAAACTTCACTATACTTCATTACAATATCAGGAGCTTGCAAGCTCACTATGATGAGCTTTGTATAAACATAGCGGTGTTAAATAAGAATAAAAATATAGCTATAATTGTTTTGAGTGAGACCTGGAATATCAGTAATATCGACAGTTATAAAATAAATGGCTTCCAAATTTACTATAATGAAGCCAAGTATAATAAATGCGATGGGGTTTGTATGTATGTAAGAGACATTTCGGCAAATCTTTCCATAAAAGTGATAGATGTAGTGACGGCATTGTATTGTAGCTTTATTTTCAACAATAACAGTTTCAGTATTACTGGTATCTACAGGCTTAATCCCACGAATGTACAGGATTTTGTAAATAATTTGGATTCGTATTTGAGTACTGCAAACTGTGACATTTCGTTGTTGGTGGGTGATATACATATAAACTTATTGAGAGAACATGAATACAGCAATTTAAGATACGTTAATATGTTACAACAGAACGGATACATATCTCAGATTAATACACCTACTAGGGAAGATTCTAACTCATCTATGATTACCGACCACATATTTTTGAAGACAAACAGATTTAAGGTCTCTGAAACAGCAATTGAGTGTAAACCAATACTTTTGGAAAATTGTATAACCGATCATTATCCTGTTTTGTTCAATTTTGGGTATTTGAAAGGAAGTAATTGTATCATTAATAAAAACAGCTATGAATTTAAGAAAATTGATGAGAAAAAGACTTGGGACAGTGTTTTTTCAGAGAGTGATGTCCAAAAAGCAACTGATAACTTCTATAATGAATTATATAAAGGCAAAGATCATTCAACGTATTATTTAAAAATAAATAGTAAGACTATAAAACGCAAGCCGTGGATGACTGACCGTATTCTTACTTCGATCAAGAAGAGGGATGAGTTGAAACAGAGTTTGACGAGAGATAATGATAACTTGATATTGAGACTCCTATATCTCCTACAGAAACAGAGTAACTAATCTTATTAAGATCTCTAAAAATCAATATTATACAAAAAAACTCATTTTAGCTGGTAATAACTATAGGAAGAGCTGGGATGTTATTAATGAGGTAACTAATGCTGGCAAAATAAAAAAAATGACGTAAAATCAATTAATCACAATAATCAGCAGCTGGACGCTCCCACTGTTATAGCCTGTGTGTTTTTAATAAATATTTTGTTGATATAGGTGAGCAAATAACAAGTCAGATTGATCAATACTCAATTCTTGATACATCAGATCCTCATGTCTTCAACATTGCCCACTCTATGTTTCTAACTCCAGTGGATAACATAGAGTTACAACAAATAGCTTGTAATCTGAAAAACAATAGCGCACCCGGAAAAGATGGCTTACACACTAAAACTATCAAGATGATCATGAAGTATATCAGTCACCCTATAACTCACATTATCAACCTCTGTTTCAAATCCTCAGTAATTCCTCGCCAATTTAAAGAAAGCATAGTGACACCAATATTTAAATCTGGAAGTAAAAACAATATGTTCAATTATAGACCTATTTCAGTTATCAATGTATTTGGGAAGATTTTTGAGAAGTGTTTGAATAACAAACTTTGTTCTTTTCTTGAGAAATATGACATAATATCGAACTGTCAATTTGGGTTCCGCAAAAATTGCAATACAGAGCAATCTCTACTAGAACTTACAGGACAAGTGCTTGAAAATTTTCAAGATGGAAATAAGACTGTTGCACTTTTCCTAGATCTTCAAAAGGCTTTCGATTCAGTATCTCATACAATTTTATTAAAGAAACTAGAAAGTGTTGGAGTGCGTAGCGGAGTTCTGAACTTATTTGAGAACTATTTGGCTGATCGATTACAACAAGTTAAGGTAGAGTCAGATTTAAGCAACATTCAAAAGATCAAAATAGGTGTGCCTCAGGGGACGGTTTTGGGACCAACACTGTTCCTCATATACATAAATGAACCACTTCGATGTAATTTCAACTGTAAAATGATATCATATGCAGACGATACTGTTTTAGTTTGCAAACTTAATATCTCTGAAACTAAGTATGTAACGTTTTCTCCAACCAAAGCAGGCATGCCGTTACACCACCGAATATTAATTATAAATGATAGTGTTGACACTGTCGAAAGAGTTGAAGTTATAAGATACTTAGGAATCACTATTGACAGTAATTTAAAATGGCAGAGTCATGCCGAGCTTTTGGCATCGAAATTAAGGAGAATTATTCATAAGTTTTTCATTCTTAGGAATATTTTAAGCAGAAAGAGTCTTCTTTCAATGTATAACTCGTTTGTGGGGTCTCTACTAACTTACGGGATAAGTATTTGGGGAGCGGCATACACTAGTACTTTAAAAATACTACAAACCACGCAAAATTATATTGTCAGGACTATTTTTCGTATCCGATGTAGGTCAAGTTGCAGATTTGTATACATTGAAAATGATCTTTTGAATGTTAGAGGTTTATATATTTTTGCTGCTCTAAAATTTGTTCACTCCCGAAACAATGTTCCAACCAGCCACGCTTATGAAACAAGAACTAAAATAAATATAAGTTACACCTACACCAGAGTGAATAAATCTGTTTGCCAAAAATGCATAAAGTTTGATGGTATTAGGTTGTATAATAAATTACCCCTAGAATATAAAATCCTCTCGAAGTATAGTTTCAAAAAAAGAATTAAGAAGTTCATCTTAAATAACTTTGACATGCTTGCAGCGACGATAGCTTGACTCAACTCAGTAATTTCGTTTCTATCTAATGTTTTTTTATTTCTTTTTTTTATATACATTTGCTCATAATATGCCTTATGACCATTAGCCATGCATTGAATTTGTGTATTGTATGACACGCACAAGCTTATAGCTTAGGTGTCTATTCTCATGTAGTAAAGTCTTTTGTAGTAAATAATTGTAGTACTCTTGTTTCTCTGCTTAACCTTTACGCAAATTTTTTATTGTTTAAACAACATAGTTTGACCTTACTCGAAATATCCCTATATTATCATATTTCAGATATTCATATTTTATGTACTCTATATTTATACTTCTGAGTGTTTTTAGTATGCTTCTGTACTATTGTTATGAATTTTAGATTTGTTTATGCATACACGTAATTTAGGATTTGTGACGACAAGATTCAGACATTTACCCTTTACGAAAGTATACAGAATTTTCACAATTTATGTACCGTTACTTGCTGGTTCTAGATCTGATGCTAGTATCTTTGCTCAGATTTCTGTTGCAATCTTGGTTATTCAGGGTAGCAAGAGTATACAAGCTCATGTATTTTTGAAGCTTTTTTTATTTAAATTGTACTAAAGGTTGTTTTTAATTTGTAAGTTATATTGGTTTTTGAATTTGAATTTGAATTTGGATTTGAATAAACTTAGTTTGAATAAGAAAAAAATGTCAGGCACACACTGGCAAATATAAACACGCTCATGTATATTTTGTCGCACAGTAAATATGCTTGAACAGACTACAGGAAATGAAACGCAATCTTGTGTTTCTTCGAGCGCATGAAATAGAATATTCCCTCGCTCTGATAAAAAACATACGGGTATATCTGTTCAGCCTTTACTGGTCTGCGGGATATTTATCAAAAAGTTGAGCTATTCTCATCCCATGCTTCAATGGTAAAAGCAATACTGCATTTAACTTTAAGCTAACTGTAAGAAAAGCATTTTTGCCAAAAAAGTAGAGCATTCCACGAGTTTTTTAAAGTAACAGTGGACTAACGCCTCAAAAATTGCTGTCCTCCCTTCCTGAGTAATCTTTTCTTCCTGCACTCAGGAAGTAGGTGCTTCACTTTCAAATTAAGCGACTAAATAAGACAGAAACGGTTCGCAAGGGAGGCAATTTCTCCTTTAATACTCGCATTCTTCCAAGTTACGGAAAGTTTAGTCCTTAATATTATTTAGAGAGACATTCTCTCATAATAAAATAAATTTCCACGAACTGCGTGCCCTCAAGAGAAAACTCCTTCAATTACGACTGAACTTGCCGATTGTTGTAAGTATCTAGACGTGCCTGATTTGTTCATCTTTTTCAGTTGTATACCTTCCACAAATGCCTGTACAGGATGATACAAAGCATCGACAATATAAAGAATAAAGGTATGCACCGAATGGTCCGGACAGCACGCATTGCACTCAGAATTGCCGATATACACTTATGTTAGGTTGTTCGATATGGAGTTAGTTACACACGAATTCATGAAAGACATTTCAATCCATTCCAGCCGTTCAATGTGGAGTATTTGGCGAGAGTGGAGAAAGTGGACAAGTCTAGTACACGGACGGCTGAGTTACTGAAGCGGGCTCTGGCGCCGGGGTCTTTGGGCCTAGAACTATTCTCTCGGTAGATGCACTACTACTTTTCAGGCGGAAATCGATGCGATTCTGGCTTGCGCATCTTATATTCTGGATGGCCCAGGGGAAAATAATAATCTTCTCCCACAGCCAGCCTGCGAAGAAGGCACTGAGTGACTGCAAGATTACTTCGAGCCTTTAGTTACCATGGAAAGAGGGTCTGGATAGCTTAGTAGCAAAGCATCGGGTATCGCTAGTGTGGGTATCGTGGCTTGGTAGGAAAGCTTGATGGACCTGAACCATCTCTAAAGCTGCCCGCGCAAAGAACTAGGAGGATAACAGAGAAGTGGATATCTATACGACACTCGATGAAGTGGAGAAATATCTCTAGACGTCTCCAGGCTTTTTGCTGAGGATGGATGCTTGTGCTTTGCTTTGGATAGAGCTAACCAAAGGTTGTTGGTAGAACTGTTGCCTCACCATAACACAATAAGGCA